GTGCAGGGTGAGGTGGTGCAGGGTGAGAAGGTGCAGGGTGAGGTGGTACGGGGTGAGGTGGTGAGGTGGTGTGGGGTGAGAAGTACAGGGTGAGAATGTGAAGGGTGAGGTGGTGCAGGGTGAGAAGGCAGGCACTGAGTCTACCTCAGTTGGAATGGATTTCAAACCCACATACTGTCGGTGTTATTACGAACTGCAAATATACCACATCTTACTGAATGAATTATCCAGCGAGAGATACACGTAGCCAAAGAAGGCTAACAGTTAGAATACCAGGGTACAGAGCAGAAGTGACCTCACTAAGGCTGAACGTGAATGATCTTTTATGATCAATGACACCATAAGTGAATTATGTCTTCACCAGGATAAAAACTGATGCTCAGAAAAAAATCAACCTTCTGTACTATTTACTGCTTGAATGTTGTTGGTCAAACACATGTAATGTCATAATGTTTTCAGAAACAGAACAGCTAGCTGATCAAGGAACATACAGATGATGGATCATTAGTGTAAAAGCTTTCATTATCTTAGCTTTGAGATTCAACAAAGAATACATCCCTGAGAATGTTCACAAAACTATGTTAGAAATTTTAATTCCTCCTTTATTTCTGTCTGTGCAAGAACTTGTGGCCTCTTTTGAGGAAATTAATCAGTCATTTAAATCCCACAACCCAAACCATTTGGCTGAGAAAAGGAAAAGTGTTGACAATTAAAACATCTACTGACATCTTAATGAAATAATTAATAATACTAATCATCTGACCATATAAACAACAATCAGAATTCTGTACAATAACTGGAATATTTCTGTGGTATGAAGTAACTCACTAAATCATTGACTCCCTACAGTGTGGAAGTAGGCCAGTCGGCTCATCAAGTCCACACCAATCCTCCAAAGTGCATTGCACCCAGACCCACCCCTTACACTGTTCCTATAACCCTGCATGTCCCATGGCTAATCTACCTAACCTACACATCCTTGAATACTATGGGAAATTTAGTATAGCCAATCCACTTAAACGCACAGTCTTCAGACTGTGGGAGGAAACCGGAGCAAACCCATGCAGACACGGGGAGAATGTGCAAACTCCACACAGGCAGTTGCCTGAGGGTGGATTCAAGCCCAGGTCCCAGGTGCTATGAGGCAGTAGTGCTAACTATTGAGCCACCCAATGTTTAAGTAATCTTTCAACCTCAGGAGCATTTAACTCATATCAACATTCCTTACATGAAAGGGCGAACTCTACAGCTTGAGAATGTTCTGTTGATCTTGCTGTTAGTAAACAGGTTGTTCATCTGAAGGAAAGTAGCAATCACAGTTTTAGGAACAAGGGTAACATAATTAATTTAATTAATTTAATGACATTATTGGAATAATGAAATTGTGGACTGACCTGATAAGTAATTATGTTTGCTGCAGATTTGTACAGTGCAGAATTGGGAGACTGTAGATTTGCTGTAAGGATCAGGTTAGTAATAATGAAGGTCACATTGAAATCAAAGGGTTGTGTTTGAAGGCTTGGAGTTGTGCTCATAATTGGTGATACCGCTGTCGAGAAACATGAAAAGCATTAAATCGAAAATAAAATATCTCTGTGACTGCATCATTTGTATTTAAGACTGTGATGGAAAAATATTCAACAATATAGAGATCGCGGTACACTATTTCAAACTGGAGTTAGAGCTCTGTGAGATTTAGAGACCACTCAATAAAAAGACTGCAGAGTAACCTGTTCTCATCACATACAGAAGTAGACAGAAACTGTCCCATTCACTGCTCATGAAGCTGTTTGTCCAATTGTATAAGAAGTGCTTCTGATTCTTTGAGTCACTTCATTGAATGGGAGTTTTCTGCCATTTTTAATTTTGGGCTGCAAGCATTAGTTCCTCTTCTATTCCATTTATTTATAGCTGAAGTATCAATCTATTGAGAAGGTACTCAAACAACAAATGATGGCATATCCAGAACGATACTGATAAGATTTCACAAAAGAAACAGTTAACAAACATAAGAGTATTGGGGTTAACCTATTGACTTTTTTGTGGTTGGTTGGCTCGCCGAGCTAGTTCGTTGTTTTTCCGCCGACGTTTCATTACCCTGCAAGGTAACATCATCAAATCTACTCCAAAACCTTAGAAACCTTGGATAGGAAATTGGTTAAGACATAGGAGAACGATTTTGAATAATGGGTTTGTACTCATTTTGACAAGATGTATCCCACCCACATTGACTGACATCCTTAGTCTTTTGAGTGTCTTTATTAATGATTTGGCCAAATGCCGTGAATCCTCAGTGTGCTGATAACTGCCTTGACAGGTAATTGAGAGCGTGCTTCAAAAAGAAGGTGCCCTCTCTGATTCTTTGTTAATAATTTGATTAGGAATAGAGAGAGAGAAAAAGGAAGGCATCCCTCTGTGTGTTCATGGGTTTGGGCAGGGTGGGAAACGAGGGCCCCTCTTCGAAGCATCATCTCACCACACCATCATCCAGGCAGGCTATGGGTAGGTAGGGGGAGATGGGGCAATAAGACTTGCCTGGAATGCTCTGATAGCTGCTGAGTGCCGATCTTTCCAGCAGCAAAACTGACCCCTAACACAATGGGAATTTAGAAATAAACTGTAAAATCCCAGATAGCCTCCTTAATCTCAAATTAATAGCGCTCTTAATAAGCCCAACTGCCTTGCTTTTTTGTGGGAATCGGCAGTCTTGTTGACACCCCAGCCTGTGTCAGTCAAAATGGCTGGTGCTGGTGGGAGTGGGGTCAGGGGCCTATCTTTATAATTTTCAGGACCCATGTGAGGCCATGGAATTCAGCTGATAATCCCTGGTAGATCCTTCAAAATATTTCTCAATGTAAACTAAGAAATGATGTATCAGTTTTAAGTGAGAAACTTTCCAATGCTGGTAAGTTATCACTGTTTTTGTATGGAATTTGCTTTGTTACCCACAGTAATAAATAATATTGTGAGAAGAAAGAGAAACAGAAACAGTACTCACTTGATGAAGGAGTTGATTCATGGTAACCTGAAAAATCAGTATTTTGAAATATCAGTATTTTTTAACAGATGAGGCCAATGGAAAGTCATTGTTAAAGATTGAAAAATGGGGTTTTCATTTTCAATTTAAATGCATCAACTAATTCAAATAAATAGAGTAAAACTTAATAGCTCAAAATATTGAAATGAAATGCAAAATACCATTTACATAAAGGCTGTTATTGTCCAGTAAATAGCTTCCTAGGGTTGAGATGTTCCTTGTGTTGTCTCTGAACTCGTGATACACAGTAACTTTATTAACCTCCTGAGCAGTAGAATCATTTCTAAATGTGCAGATCGCATACAGACTGATGGCATCATTGTTTGCCAAGCTGCAAAATAAATGGTATACAGTTAAGTGAATAAGAAAATACAAATTGAAATTTTGGTTACAACCTTTATTGGAAGAGTGTGGGAGATTGAGGTCAAAGAGGGAGGGAGAATTAAAATGGTCAGGAACCTAAATTGCAGGGTCACACCTGTTGGATACACAGAGGGGCTCCCCCGAGCAGTCACATAATTGGCGTTCAGTCTCTGCTTGTAGATAACAGTATATTGTAAAAAATGAACATAGTACTCAAAATTCAAAGTATAAGTTATTTCAGTTTTGCCGCAAAGTGAGTCAGGCACGGACGTGAGACAAGCCAAGAATCAAAAGATAAGTTGAGAAAAGATGTAAACTTTAATCTTCAGAGGAAGCAGCAAATGGACAGGTGACCTATGAAAGAACATTTTCTTGAAACTGTGTTTGCGAAAATTTCCCCCATCAGTCTGTGCGATAATTTAAATCAAACACCTGAAACAAGTCGATGGTGAGTCACAAAGAAACCAATATTGCTGACAGCAGTAGGAGTTTTAACAGTCAACTAGAACTAATTACCCTTCAATGATATGAAAGATTTAAGCGCAGAAACAACTAGTTCTGAACAATAACTGGAAATTTTAATTAGTTTAGAAATTTTAAATGTTACCTATTTACTTATACATTTAAATGATCTTGAAATGAATTGCATTGAGATTTAATATCAGCATTCCTTACCTCAAAGACATTAACTCTGCAGCTTGAGAATGTTGTGTTGATGTTGCTGGTGTTGAATAATGAGTCCAGCGAAGGGAAAAGACAGAAACAGATTGAAAATTGACAGATAAATGAAATATTAAAATTCACGTGAATTTAGTTTCATAATTACAGTCAACCTCTAACCTGGAAAGCAATTATATTTGTTGCAGATTTGTATAGTGCAGTTGTGGAGTCTTGTAGAGTTGTTGTTGGGGCCAAGTTAGTTATAATAAAGGTCACGTTAAAATCAAGGGTCTTCATTTCTGGGTGTGGAGTGGTGCTCATGATCGGCGATATTGCTATTAAAAAGAATTAGCAAAGTATTAAATTGAACAGGGCATACCTCTCTAATTGCATAATTTGTGTTAAAAATGTTGAACGCAACATTGACTAAGAATACCGAAACCACAGGGAAATGTTTCTGGTCAAATTGAAAATTCTTTAAGCTGGGCCAAGAGCTCATATTCAATGTACCTGTCCTTTCCAGATATTTCCTGAAAAACCTGTTTGGGGATATTCTTACACAACTCTGGAGCGAATGAGACTTAAACCTGGGCCTCTTGGCTGAGATGCAGGGACAATTTTCCTTTCTACTGATTGTGCAATTACACTGAAATTGTCCTAGTAACTTAACTTGCAGTGGATTTATTTTTAATAGTGAGATCTGACAATATTCAGTAAGGGTGTTACTGATTTAGTATTTTTACAGTCATGTTGCTGGTCCAAATCTACTGGTTCTGTTCCAGAAGGTCACTATTTTTTTATTAAATTGTGGGATGTGGGCGTTGCTGGCTGGCTGGCATTTATTGACCATCTCTAGTGGCCCTTGAGAAGGTGGTGGGAAGCTGCCTTCTTGAACTGCTGCAGTCCATGTGCTGTAGGTTGACCCACAATGCCGTAAGGGAGGGAATTCCAGGATTTTGACCCAGCAACAGTGAAGGAACAGCGATTTATTTCCAAGTCAGGATGGTGAGTGGCTCGGAGGGGAACTTGAAGACTGTGGTGTTCTCATATATCTGTTGCCCTTGTCCTTCTCGATGGAAGTGGTTGTGGGTTCGGAAAGTGTTGTCTGAAGATCTTTGGTGAATTTCTGCACTGCATCTTGTAGATAGTACACACTGCTGCTACTGAGCGTAGGTGGTGGAGAGAGTGGATGTTATACAAGTCAAGCACGTTGCTTCTTCCTGTACCATCTGAAGCTTCTAGAGTATTGTCAGAGCTGCACCCATCCAGGCAAATGGGGAGTATTCCATCACACTCCTGACTTGTGCCTTGTAGATGATGGACAGGCTTTGGAGAGTCAGGAGGTGAGTTATTCACCACAGTATTTCTAGCTTCTGACCTGTTCTTGTAGCCACTGTGTTTATATGGTGAGTCCACTTGAGTTTCTGGTCAATGATAACCCCCAGGATGCTGATAGTGGGGGTTTAGGTGATGGTAACACCATTGAATGTCAAGGGGTGGTGGTTAGATTGTCTCTTATTGGTGATGGTCATAGCCTGGCATTTGTGTGGCATGAATATTACTTGCCACTTGTCAGCTCAAGCTTGGATATTGTCCAGATCTTGTTGCATTTGAACATGGACTGCTTCAATATCTGAGGAGTCAGGAATGGTGCTGAACATTGTGCAGTCATCAGCAAACATCCCTACTTTTGATGTTATGTTGGATGGAAGATCATTGATGACACAGCTAAAGATGATTGGGCCTAGGACGCTACCTGGTGGAACTCCTGCAGAGATATCCAGGAGCTGAGATGACTGACCTCCACCATCATGACCATCTTCCTATGTGTCAGGTATGATTCCAACCACTGGAGTGTTTGCCCCATGATACCTATTGATTCCAGTTTTGCTCAGACTCCTTGATACCGTACTAGGTTGAATGCAGCCTTGATATCAAGGGCTGTCACTCTCACCTCACCTCTGGAATTCAGCTCTTTTGTCCATGTTTGAACCAAGGCTGTAATGAGGTCAGGAGCTGAGTGGCCCTGGCGGAACCCAAACTGGGCATCACTGAGCAGGTTATTGCTGAGCAGGTGCTGCTTGATAGCACTGTTGATGACTCCTTCATCACTTTACTGATGATTGAGAGGAGACTGATGGGATGGTAATTGGCCGGGTTGGATTTGTTCTGCTTTTTATGTACAGGACATACTAGGGCAGTTTTCCACATTGTCAGGTAGATGCCAGTGCTGTAATTGTACTGGAACAGCTTGGCTAGGGGAGTGGTAAGTCCTGGAGCACAAGACTTCAGTACTATTGCCAGAATGTTGTCAGAGCTCATCATCTTTGCAGTATCCAATGTCTCCAACAATTTCCTCGTATCATGTGGAGTGAATCGAATTGGCTGAAGACTGGCATCCATAATGCTAGGGATCATTCGAGGAAGTCAAGATGGATCATCCACTCGGCACTTTGGGCTGAAGATTGCTGAGAATGCTTCAGCCTTGTTTTCAGCACTGATGTGCTGGGCTCTTCCATCAATGAGGATGGGATATTTGTTGAGTCACCTCCTACAGTGAGTTGTATAATCGTCACAACTGGATGTGGCAGGACTGCTGAACTTGGATCGCTTAGTTCTGTCTGTCACTTGCTGCTTATGCTGTTTGGTGTGCAAGTCGTCCTGTTTGGTAGTTTCACCAAGTTGACAACTCATTTTCAGGTATGCCTGGTGCTGCTCCTGCATTTTCCGTTGAGCCAGGGTTGATCCCCTGGGTTGATGATAACGGTTGAGTGGGGGATATGCTGGGCCATGAGGTTACAGATTGTGTTGGAGTACAATTCTGCTGCTGTTGATGGCCCGCAGCGCCTCATGGATGCCCAGCTTTGAGTTGCTAGATCTGATCTTAACCTGAGCACAGTGATAGTGGCACACCGCACGATGGATGTTATTCTCAATGTGAAAGCAGGACTCACAAGGACTGTGTGGTGATCATTCTCATTGATACTGTCAATGGACAGATGCATCTACAGCTGGCAGATTGGTAAGAATGAGATCAAGTATGCTTTTCCCTCTTTTTGGTTCCCTTACCAGTTCCTGCAGCCCCAATCTAGTATCTATGTCCTTGTGGACCTGGCCAGCTTGTTCAGTAGTGCTGCCGCCAAGCCACTCTTGGTGGTGGACATTGAAAATCCCCCACCTAGAGTATATTTTGTGCAAGACAACAAGGTGCAGAACTGGATGAACACAGCAGGCCAAGCAGCATCATAGGAGCAGAAAGGCTGACGTTTCGGGCCTAGACCCTACTTCAGAAATGGGGGAGGGGAAGGGGGTTCTGAAATAAATAGGGAGAGAGGGGAAGGCGGATAGAAGATGGATAAAGGAGAAGATAGGTGGAGAGGAAACAGACAGGTCGAAGAGGCGGGGATGGAGCCAGTAAAGGTGAGTGCAGGTGGGGAGTTAGGGAGGGGATAGGTCAGTCCAGGGAGGACGGACAGGTCAAGGGGGCGGGATGAGGTTAGTAGGTAGGAGATGGGGGTGCGGCTTGAGGTGGGAGGAGGGGATAGGTGGGAGGAAGAACAGGTTAGGGAGGGGGGGACGAGCTGGGCTGGTTTTGGGATGCGGTAGGAGGAGGGGAGATTTTGAAACTTGTGAAATCCACATTGATACCATTGGGCTGCAGGGTTCCCAAGCGGAATATGAGTTGCTGTTCCTGCAACCTTCGGGTGGCATCATTGTGGCACTGCAGGAGGCCCAGGATGGACATGTCGTCTGAGGAATGGGAGGGGGAGTTGAAATGGTTCACGACTGGGAGGTGCAGTTGTTTATTGCGAACTGAGCGTAGGTGTTCTGCAAAGCGGTCCCCGAGCCTCCGCTTGGTTTCCCCGATGTAGAGGAGGCCACAACAGGAACAGCGGATGCAGTATACCACATTGGCAGATGTGCAGGTGAACATCTGCTTGATGTGGAAAGTCTTCTTGGGGCCTGGGATGGGGGTGAGGGAGGAGGTGTGGGGGCAGGTGTAGCACTTCCTGCAGTTGCAGGGAAAAGTGCCAGGTGTGGTGGGGCTGGAGGGGAGTGTGGAGCGGACAAGGGAGTCACGGAGAGAGTGGTCCCTCCGGAAAGCAGATAAGAGTGGGGAGGGAAAGATGTCTTTGGTGGTGGGGTCGGATTGCAGATGGCGGAAGTGTCGGAGGATGATGCGTTGGATCTGGAGGTTGGTGGGGTGTTACGTGAGGACGAGGGGGATTCTTTTTTGGTTCTTATTGTGGGGACGGGGTGTGAGGGATGAGTTGCGGGAAATGTGGGAGACAC